ATAATTATAAAACTTGAATAAAGCCCTTGTATTATATCAGTGTTATTTTCCTAGTTAATAATATTTATACTGTGCTTGTGTAATAGAAAGTCCTTGATTTTTAGGAAATAAAAACCAAAATATTTAGGGATAGATAAAGAGATAAGTAGATAGAGGAGATGTAGCATGAGGTTAACATTTGAGGAATCCGAGTGAAGGCTAGATGGAAGTTCTTTGTAGCATTCTTGAAACTTTTCTGTAAATCTGAAGTTATTTAAAATTTAAAAGTTTAAATATTAGAATGGCATACTTTAATACATAGTAATTGTATTTTAAAATGTCAGGGTTTATAGTATTTGAGAAATTATATCCATTGCAACTATTCAACTTACAGTGAAAATTTTAGATTTCAGCCTACAAATGTGTAGGTAGTAAAATTATTCTGTATATTAAATGGTAGATACATCGTCCATACCTATAGTATTGTAAACACCAGGAGTAAATCTTAATGTTAACTATGAACTTGGGTGATGATGCTGTGTCCAATAGATTCTTTGTAACAAATGTACCACTGTGGTGTATGATGTTCATAGTGGGGGAAACTGTGTATGTGTGCACAGGGGCTATGTGAAAACTCATGATATTCCTGCTGCATTTTGTTATGAATGTAAAAATGCCCAAAAAATAAAGATTATTATTTTTTAAAAATCAGAATATATAAATGAACAAGTAGGAGGGAGAAGTAGGATGATGTTAAGGTGAAACAGGTAATCTGAGGGTGAAAGACTTCTATTAATGTAACTACCCCTCCATGTTTTTTCCAGAAATAAATATTTTATTCTCTGTGTATAGCAGTAATATTTGCTGACAAAAAAAAGGAAGCAGGATGAAAAGTAGGTCTGTGAATGTCCACTGTAATTTTTGTCCTGAGCCTAGAGATTTAAAATCAGGATAAGGAGGGTTATAGTCATAACTCGGTGGTAGAGCACAGTTAGTATTCATTCAAGAAACATCCACTGTGTACTTTCACAGTACCAAGTTCTGAGACAGAAGCTGAAAATAGGCAGCAAAGACTTTAAGATCTAAAGTCAAAGAAACCTGGATTCATATCTAGACTCTCCCACGTAATAGCAATAAGCTATTTTGTTTTCCTAATTTGTTTTTGTGTGTGTGTGTCCACATGTGTGTGTTTCAAATGTATTTGTCTCCCCCATGCAAACCTAGAATGCAAGCTCCATGGAAGTAAAGAGCTGTATCCCCAGAGTCTAATACAGAGCTGAGCAAATAATAGATATTGTTTAAATATTTGTTTTGTAATGGGATATGTCATGAAAGCAGGGTAGGGAAAGATCATAATGCACCAATTTAAAAAAGTGAAGGAAAAAAAGATGATTAAGAGTATTGAAGGGCTCGTTTGATGAAATGTGAGATAATTGTATATAAAGAACAGTGAATGCAAAGAAGGTGCCTAATATTTCTAGGATAAGGCTTTAAGATGTGACTAACAAGATAAATAGGAATTTGCAGGGAGTCCAGGCTGAGAGAGGATGTTCAAAATCAAAGAAAAATGAGAACATAAGCAGCAATTCATGCTTAAGTACATGGACTTTGAGTTAGATTGTTTGACTCCAAAGCTTGGGTTTGCCACTTGCTACGTGACCTTAGATAAATTATTTAATACCCTATGCCTCAATTTTCTTACCTATCAAATCACATTAATAATAGTACCTACCTCATTGGATTGTTGTAGAATTAAATAAAATAAAGCATATAATGTGCTTGTCGCTGTGCTTTACTTATAGTAATAGATGTTAGCTGATGTTAGTTAATTGGGCTGAGAAGAGATGTGATCAAGAGATGTGATCAATTATATTATAAATTATAGTTCCAACAAAGGATAAGTTAGAGGAATGAAAGCAGATTAAATTAGGAAAGTACACAAATTAGTATTTTCTGAAACACTGCCTTCATACCAAGTATTTACTAGGTTCTACAGATAGAAAAATAAATTAGAAACTTTCTCAACCTAGGAGAAAAATATGGCTTGGATGTAGCTCAGTGATAGAGCATCCATAGATTCAATCCCCAAAACTTCAAAAACAGTAATGATAATAATATAACATATGGCTTACTACTCATTGTATTTATATTTTGGATTTATCTAGAGGTTTAAATTTTTTCAAAATAAAATTTTGGGAAAATTAGGTAACAAAAAAAAAAAGGAAAGAAAGTGATGAAGCCGTTAAAAATACATGCTTCTATAGTACTTATCAAGGAAGAAGATTTTGATATACTTACTTATCATGAAATTATTTATTGGATAGTCTTATGTTTAAAAGTATTTGTGAAACCAAACTGTTGAAGTAGTTAATATCAGAGAACTTTGTTCTATCACTCAAAATTTATTTATATTGGTAATCTAAAAAATAAAGGAA